CCTTCCCTCCCCTCCCTTCCCCCCCCTCCCGGGCAGCAGGTGGGGCCCAGATTGTGATCCGACGCCCTGCCCTGCCCAGACTGCCTTGCACCTTCCAGGACCTCCTGCCTCCATCCTGGGTCCCCTGACACGGAGACTCTTCTCTGGGACAGAGGGAGTCCTGGTAACCCCACACAGAGGACTCTGGGGCTCCAGGAGCCCCCTCCTCAGTGACCCTCCTACATAACCTACAACCCTTTCCCCTGCTTAGAGCCAGGCCGAGTCTCAAGTCTTTGTCCAGCTTTGGAAATCATGGATTTACTGGCCTCCATAAGCATTTTCAATCGGCTGCTGCCACTTTTCAGCCTCCATTAGCACCTTCAGATGTCCCGATTCCCATCAGAGCCATCCGGGTCCCTTGTCTGGTTCTGGCCTCACCTTTCCTGGTGCTGACAACATGCCTTTGGCCCTGTATCTTTCTTTCCCCTGGCACCCAGTTCAGACACTGTATCCACCTTAAGATAGGCCAGGACCAGGCACTTTTCTGGACACAGTGTGGGTCCTCAGGAAGTTGAGCTTGCCAGGTAAAGCTGGCAGGATCTCAGGACCCACTTACCCTTTCTGTCTTGACTGCAGCTCCTTGGAGACCGTCATGGGCCTGGAGAGCAGCAGCGAGCTCTTCACTGTCTCTGTGAGCGGTGTCCTGTACCTGCAGGTGCGTGGGGCTGTGTCCAGCATGGCCGTGGCTGGGCCGAGAGGGGTGCTGTCAGGTGCTCAGGACCCAGGGGCACAGCACAGTCAGACTCCAGACCTGGGAAAGGATACAGGACACGCCTAGGCCCTGGTCATGGCACAGATGGAGTGGGCTTCAGGCCTCATCCCCCAGGCTGCCAACCTCGTTAGCACCTGTACAGTGTATCCAGGTTTTAGACCTCCTGAGCAGCACTGTGGTGGGTACCCCCAGCCTCCTAGACCGCTCTGACCATGGAGGACAAGCACAGACCTTCGTATCTGAGCCTACTGCAACCGTGAGAGGCTTGAGGCCGAAGTCCGTCACTAGTCACTGTGAGGATTTAGCACGCGGTGGGGTTGTTCATGTAAAGGTGGTTTTCCTAAAAAGAAGGCCGTGCAGAGGTGTGGGTGTCCTCTGAGGCGGGCTCCCCAATCCTGTGTCCTGGCAGCAGGAACATGACAGTGCTGCAGTGTGGCCCACACTAGGCTTGAGTAGCACTCTTGCGGCTCTGACTCCAGGCAAGCCTGTGAGACAAGCCATGTAGCAGGTAAACTGAGGCTCATGTCCCGAGCCCCACCTTACAATCCCGAGCCCCACCAAAACAGAACACAAAACTGCAGGAGGAGGGAGCAGTCACACAGAGCAGTCAGGGACTCTGGCTTCAGTGTAAGGCCTACCAAGCACTCACTTGACCCAAGCCAGGCCTCTCCTGAGGCAGAGCGGCAGAGGCGTGGGTGCTGTGGCACACTGCAACAGGGCCAGCCCTGTGCCTGACGGGCACCCTGTCCTACAGATGGGTCAGCACATCTCGGTCTTCTTGGACAACGCCAGCAACTCCTCCCTCACGGTGCGCAGCAGCTCCCACTTTAGTGGGGTCCTCCTGGGCGTGTGAGCGGCCACCCCAGGCTCGCCTTCATCTCGCAGATGGAGCAGACCCAGAAGCCTACCCAGCCTTGGGCCAATGCAGGGGGAATCTGCCCGGAACTTGGCCCAGAACTGGCCACGACAGGCCAGGTGGCCCTGCAGAGGTGACGCACAGCCAGCGGTCCCAGAACTAGTGACTTCAGGATGCCATTTGAGCCGAGCCGCCAGTGTGCCTGGAAATGCCCAGCGTGCCTGGCCGCACCCGCTTCTCCCCAGCTGCACACCTAGTTTCCTCAAGCCTCAGATTCTTTCCTTGGCCTGGCGCAACCTTTTCCAGATTTCTTTTAGCAGGGGGTCCTGGCAGGATCCTGCCCTGCAAGGGGAGTGGCCCTTGCTCAGAGGGGGTCCAGACCATCTTCCCAACCAGCAGTGACCACTCACTGTCCACCCAGGCAGCTGCTCTTCTATCTCTCTCTCAGCTATGCCTCTCCTTGCTGGTGGACATACAAGACATACTGTGGACCCTGGCACAGCAGGACACACTTTGCAGGAGGCAGTGCACCTACAAGTCCCGCCCAGCCTTCCTGAGGGAACCGCACACCCCCGCTCCCCTCCCTGGGCTGTAGACTGGCTGCTACCAGGATCCCCTCCCCATCCCGAGGTCCTTCCAGCCAACCTGCAGCTGGTGGGGTGAAGCCTATACTTCCCCTAGGCCGGGCCCTGTGACCTGGTGGGCGTGGATGGCTCTAGGGGTCCTTCGTGTTTAAGTGAGTGTGGTGCTGGCCACACTGGTGGTGGAGGCAGTGCTGAGGATGGAGAGAGCAGTTTCCAGAGGGGATGCAATGTTATTTAAGCTCGAAGCTCCCCAACATTTCCCAAGGACAGGACTGGCCCCTGGGGCTGGCAATAATGATGACAAGGGCCTCAGCAACACCCTCAGAGTCCACTGCCTGCTGAGCAGCTGACCCCTCAACCCAACACAACCATAGGCTGAGGCATCCAGTGCTGGGAGACCCCCCCTCCAGGTGTCCAACTGGCCTGGTGGCAGGGGTGCTAAAGTCTGGGAGAAGGGGACGATGGCCAGTCCTGTGACCTTCCAGCTGGCCCCTGGACCATGTAACCACATCCAGGCTGACCCAACCAGCAGCCTTGTCCACACACTAAACTCAAAACTTCTCCCCAAGCCAAAGCGAAGCCACGGCACGGCAGACAACCGCTGTGCCCATGGGCAGGCCGGCCAGATTCTCAGTAGGGCTCAGACCCACCCTACCAGGAAGAACCCACAAACTGATAAGGGGGTGGTGGAGCCCCGCTCTCCTCAGGATTCTACCGTGTATCCAGCGGGCACAGACACTTTAGAGAAGTTATCTTTTTCCCTTGAAAAGCCACATGGGCACATATCTCATCTCACCTGTGTTGCGCAGCATGTGGGGGGAGCGAATCTCATTTCGATGAGTAATGTGAACACAGGCTGTGGAAATAAAGGGCCAAATGAGGAGGTACTGTCTTCATCTTTCAGGCCAGGCTCTCCCCAAAGGCAGTTAGAAGCAGACTGAAGGGCCGGCCAGCCTCTGACCTGGGGCGAGGGCTGCCCTGGAGGCCAGATGGCATAGCACGAAGCCTCTCCAGAGAGGGGTGGCCCTGGGACACCCAAATCCAGTCTTGGGACATAGGATGACTCCTGGCCTGCTGTAGGCAGGCAGTTTCCTGACAGGTGCATGTGTACAGTAAACATCACCAGACGGTTGTAGAAAAGCAGTTTAGCCTCTTGGGTCATCCACAGGCAGGGCTGAGTAGCTGGTCTCGCTACTCTGTTCTTGGGAGACATCTTGCCAGGGAGGACCCCTCTGAGGTGTCTGTGTGGTGCCCACGTCAGGCCAAGGCCGTAGTAGAGGTGACTGTTCAATGTGGCCATGCCATCGCACGCTTAAGACCAAACCTGAGATGCCAAGCAGTGTTCCAGAGTTCTAGGTCATCTCTCTCACCAGGGCCAGCGAGGGTCATATGTTAGGTGGGGGCCGAGTTCCTGGCCAAGCCTGAGCTCTTGCTATTGACATCAACACTGCTGCTGAGTGGTTCTGCTCCTAATCTAGGTGTTAACCAGCCCCCATTTCAATGTCCCGTGAAGTCCCTGTTCCCCAGGGGAGTTGTCAGGAGGCTAGACAGCTCAGAATATGCCACGAGCTGTGGGAAGGTACACACAGCAGCCAGTCTACGAGGCCCACTCTCAAGACCAACCTACTTTCTGAAAGGTCCAGCCACCCAGTGTAATAAGGGAACTCAAAAGACTAGGAAAAAAAGGAACCTTTATTTACAACTGTGGAGTCCCACAGACCACAAAACAGCGCACGCGAAGGGGCCTGGGCGCCAGCACTGCGCGCAGCCTCAGTGGCCAATCTGCACCAGCATCACCGTGACATTGTCTGCAGAGCCCCGCTGCACCGCCTTGTTGGCCAGCCTGTTGCACGCGGCTTCGTAGCGGGCATCCAGGGCAGGCTTCCCTTCCCGGGACTGGATCTTTTCATCCTACCAGAGACAAATAGGCCCTAAGTGAACCAGGCCCCTGCTGCGCCACCTCCCCCCCCCCCCCCCGCTGCTGTTGTTCACTTCAGACTCCATGCCAGTGAGTCCCCTGGGCAGAGTTCACACTAAAGTGCATGGGGCTGCCCAGCTCCCTGGACTCCTGTGTCTCCACAAGTGAAGAGCACCCCGTGACATTCTCACCTCCAGACAGGATAAGATGAAGTTCACGGCTTCTTCCGGGGTAAAGACTTTAAAGAGCCCATCACAGGCCAGCAAAATAAATCTACAGCGCCAGAGAAAACAAATGGGTTTTAGCAGCAAGCTTTATAAACATAGAAGTGGAGATAAAATAAGTATCTGTCCCACTATTCAGTGGACAAAGCCATCTTTAAAGCAGTAACTGGTATTAGAACAAGGCTAAAACTCCTTAAAAAGTGGTGGGTGGGTGGGATGTTGTACACTGAAAATGGGGTTACCATTCTCCCCCCGGGAAACAAAGCACACTTGATACTAAGTGCTGAGCTCAAACAAACAAGGACAAGCTCTGATGACACCGGGCTGGGGCGAGGGGCGAGCACAGCTAGGCTCCACATGCGGGCCAGGCACCTGCTGATGAGCTGTCAGGCCCGAGTGAAACGTCAACAGGAGCAGTGAAGGGGCGGTCCCTCTTTCAGGACCCCTCCCCGAGGCAGCTGCTGGGCACCAGGGGACTTGGTGTGGCTGAATTCACTCTCGGGCACAGCTTTAAGGCAGCACCTTCCTTCCCTAACTACGACTGTGTCTGTGTCTGTTCTCTTCTTCAGCCGTATTTCTTGAGCACATGTTCTGAGTGTGAGACAGTGGGGAGATGTCCAAGCAGGCTTCTGTTCCCTCGGTGTGCAGTCAGACCCAAAATAATCACATGGTTATAGTGCGACAAATAAAAGCAGCTATGAGGCAGATCAGAGCACAAGGCAAATGAGCTGGGCCTGGTGTAAGGCAGACAGGCCTTGTCTAAAAACCAGGAGGGATTGCTGGAAACACTTCCAGGGTGCTAGGGTGGTGGACACCACGGCACATGACACACGACACAGGGAAGGAGAGTGGGAGGAGAGCGTTAAGGGCCAGGGCAAGGCACGGTCTCTTTCTCTGCAGCTCTGGGACAGGGGGCCACTCTTTGGCTCAGTCCTGTGAGCCCCGTTTTCTGTTCTCTCCTCACTCACTCCTGCAACTAGCTTAGTTCAGCCACTGTATCAGTAGTGATTACTTGAGCTACTCTGCGAGACGTGTGCTGTCTCCAGGCACTCAGAACAGAAGACACACCGTGGACACACCAGTGCAGCGCAGCCTATTTGGCTCTGCTTCTCCACAAATTATAATGCATCAGAGGAAATGAGGACCCTGCACCGCTGGTCCCCAAAATACCCTGTCACCCCATCCTCCAAGTCACCTGCCATGCCTGGAACCCACCCCACGGCCACTACCAAAACCTCCCACCCAGAGCAGACCACACTCCTATGACTCTGGACTGCACTGCCCACCCTAAGTGTGGACACTCTGAGCCAAGTTCTCTTCATGTCTGCACCCTACAGCCCAGCACAGTGCTGAGAACATGGTTCCCATCAGTCAGCAAAGGCTGAACACAACTGCAAAGGCCAGGAAGATGGACAACCACGTATACTCAGACTTGTACCCCAGCAAGGTGATTTTACCTGTCATTGGGGGTCAGCTGGCAGCGTCTGATGTCAGGCACAGAGGTGACCCCGCAGCGCTTGTACTGCCCATCCCCGATGGAGCGGGACACCTCAAGCACGCCCAAGACACGCCCATCCCTGAAATGAGGAGAAAACAGTTTCAGATTCCACCTACCTGACTGATCAGAAGCAATAGTGCTAGAATCCCATCCCATAGCAGAAACGGGAGCGAAGACCGAGGATGGAGAGTCCACATGGGCCAGCACAGTGGACATGTGTGTGTTTTGGTCTACTATACAGTGCTAGATTCTGAAGCACACCTTCTGTTGGAGGGAGGAGGGTGTGCTAAGGGTAGAACCCAGGTCTCACACACGCTAGGCACACTACGCTGAGCTACATCCCAGCCCTGAGCACACTTACTTTATATCGATATGGCTTAATGTTAACGCAGACAGTACCCTGCACATTCTGGCTTAGGAAGAGGCGCTGGGGCAGTGACTGCGGGGACCGTTCTGGTCCAGCCTCACAGGTGCCTCACTGGCCCTCAAGCCTCCATCTGAAAACTAGGCTGGGAGGACACACACACCCGTCAGGGAGTGTGCTTGTGCATCCAGGCTGTGCTTGGTTCAGCATCGCAAGCCACACACAGCTTTGGAGATGTCCTGCAGCTGGAATTCCTCCTGGGCCTGGACTGCAGTCATGGTGCCCACTGAGTCCTAGGCACCCAGGGAAGGTGACTCATGGCTCAGTCATCCTCTTTGTTCCTCAGCACTAAGCCATTTCCTGAGTCCTCCACTATCAAACAGCAAGAGGGACACCAAGTGCACAGGAGCAAAGCTGAGGGTGAAAATGGGAGCAGGGCTGCACAGCATGAGGGCAGATAGTTCCAGAAGCAGCTCCAAGCTTGAGGCCTGGAGAAGGCCGCCAAGTGCATCCTTTGGCAGCCCAGTGACCAGTGCCACCTCCTCAGTGACATACATTTCTGTCAAGCCCCATAGAATGCAAGGACAACCTCTATAATGGAGGGTCTCCAAGGGCGGTTACCACAGCGACCCCTGGGGCAGCACAGCTCGGGTGGAGGTGTGGAAACCTCTCCAGGCTGAAGGAAAGTGAGCACCAGAGGCTGCACCTCTCACTCCTATTATGAGTGAAGCCCCAGGAAGTCTAGGAACATGCCTGAGCTGCGGAGAACAGAAGCAACACTGCGCTATGGGTACACAAGAAGCCACTTCCAAGAACCCGCTGGTCCAAGGCAGGTTCTCACCAACAAACTGCTGGAGTTTCACTTGCCCTGTCCTGCTTTCCCTTTCTTCCCTTCTCTCCTTTCCTGCGTCCCTCCAGAGTTACAATGCTTCCAGGAAGTAGGTTTTAAAGTCTCAGCCTTCCAGGCCAACCTGGGAGGTAGGCCGGCACTACTCCCAGGACCAACTGTCCGGACCTCACATACACACTCTCAACCCTTGTTCATGCAGCTTCCTTTCCCTTTGCTTTTCCATCTGCCAATCAACCAGACAAATGTTCGTGCACTAGGGGCATGCCAGTCAACATGTCCCTTGCATCTTAGCTGGGTCTGCTGATACTTTCTTATCCAGGTCTTTCTCTACAGTAGGAAACAAGGGACTAAGCCTTCCACTCCTCGTGGATTCTGGCCTCCTCTGGTTACTAAAGCCAGCTGGAGACTGCTGACTCCCTCCTCTAGCTCGTGAGTCAAGGTCTTGGTAACTGTCAAGGATGGCTGTGTGCAGCCATGGCTCGGAGGTGAAGGACCCTCTCCCAGGCCAGTGATGAGCATGATGTGTGCTATGAAGACACGTGAGGCTCTGGTTCTCAAGAGGACCCTGAGTCCAGGACTGACTCAGTTTTAGGCATACACTACCAACAGATCAAATCTAGTGCTACCTGAAAGCCTCACCTTCAGATAGCCATTACTGTCGTTACCTTCTCAGAGCAATTACCTGCTGCATTCTGCCTTTAGTGTAAAGAAGGGAATGAATGCACATGCAGATTCCATAGTGTTTGAGAATCACCAGAAAAATCAGGAAATGGGATGAAAGGGCAGGAAAAGTATGAATGTCACTTTACTCAATTCAATTTTGGACCACGTAATAGAGGGCTTTTTCATTTTGTGCTGGGGAGATATACACTTACAATTGACCTTACTAGTCATTTTAACAGCACAGCATTAAAGCATTCATTCATGTCGCTACATTCATCACCAGTCTGTCTCTAACACTTTCTCATCTTCCCAAATGGAACCTGCCCCAGTAAGCACTAGCTTCCACGCTTTCATTGGCCCAGCACCCCCATTTTTCCCCGTCTCCAGGCATCTGCCTCCTCCAGGGACTTCAAGAGTAGGCTCATGCAGCATCTGTCCTTCACACCTGGCTGACTTCTTCTAGCACGTCTCTTCCCCGCTGAAGCACCAGTGTGTGCTCCATTTCCTCTGAAGACTGAATGATAATGTTTGTTAGTGATGTACTTCGCTTATCTAGTCTTGTCAATGAATACGTAAACAGCTCCCCTGGTGGCTGTGGTGAGCAACGCTGCTGTGAAAAGGGCTGTAAGAATCTAGGCAAGCCGGTTTCCATTTTTCCGGGTATCCTCAGCTGTGGGGACCCCATGGTAATAGTATATTTAGGCATTTAGGAACTACCTCAGTTCAGGTATCCTTTCATGCTCCCACCAGTGATACAAGCTTCAAAATTTCTATGTAATTATAAAGGATGAATATTAAAAATGGACAATAATGAGCCTAATCACCAGGACAGAAACAAAACAACTAAAAAAACAGTTACCGGAACCCAACAAGGGTGTCCTCGGGGAGGGAGGTTCTGAGGCCCAGGGCAGCAAGGAGCTCTGACTTCTTTAACAGTGACACCTGATACCATGGCTTTGAAATTATTCTGACAAATGTATATACTGATGCTGTCAGGAATCAAGATTTTCCTCCTAAGAGTCATAAATATACACCAAAGTTCAGAACAAATCTGTAATGTTACATTTCGGTAATAAATTGCAACTTAAGTCCGCAATTTTCTATGTGTCGTGTTCCAATCCTTGAATGGTCTTAGAAGAAATGATACCTCATTGAAATAAATACCCAGGCCACACCCAGTCTGCAGCCCCATCCCCACCCTAGGTGTAGTGACAGGAGCAGCAGGAAATGACTGAGGGTGCAGAATCAATCTAACACGGCAAACAGCATATGGCACACTCGGATTCCCAGGGCAAGGTGAGGAGAGTGGGGTGAAAGACAACATGCTTGTCCCCACCAACGCCAGTCCCCACTTCCCTGCAGACTGCTAGCAGAAGGGGTGCCTGCACATAACGCAGGACAGAGTCGCAGGTAGGAAAGGAGATCATCTTCATCCCTACCGAATTGACTCAAACAAGGATCACGAAGGGATGCCAAGACCACGGATGGCAGGCTGACAGGAAGCAGAATCTCAGCAGGAGCCAGCGTCTGTCCCAGGCAACTGCTGTTAGCACCGGAGCTAAGTGCGGGGACTCAACCTCACTGATGGAAGGTAAAGGCTTCAGAAGCGAGGAGCTGTCCAGTATGTAGCACACCAGTAAGACTTTCCTGTGTGGTGCTGGGGACTGATCCCATGGCCTTATGCATGTCTTCAGGCCCACAACAAAACTTGGTGTGCCAGGTCGTAAGCTTGGGGCCTCGAGCTCTCACTTGGCTTCTTCCACTCACGGCTGGTGATGAATATACTTTTGCTAAATGGAAATCTGAATCTAAAGAAGGCTTTAAACTTAACTTCCACCTTACATGAAGTATTTGGAAAAGATAGAGACATATTCATAATGTTGGTGAGTCTATTTAACACAATTCAAAGCCTAGCAAGAAATTCTCCATACTGATGAGAGCTAGAAACAAAGTTTGGGGACATCTAGGGAAATGCGAATACAGACTGGAATTAGAAAACTGAAGAAGTATTCTGTTTTAGGTGTGGAAATGGTCACTATGACCAGAATGACCTCATGTCCGGGAGACCTTCGCTCAAGTGCTGAGGGTGCTAAAATCATGTCTAGGTGGGAGTGGTGGCACCTGCCTATAATCCTAGCATTCGAGAGGATCACAGTTCAAGACTAGCCTGGGCTACATAATGAAAGTGTCTCAGAAAGAAAAAAGAAACTTCCAGCACAGAGAGCGCAAGCAAATGCTGTCCAATACCTGGTAGCAGACATTAATTAACTGAAGATTAATGTCCTGAAGCTTTTGTTTGTATATTTAACCATTTTAATAAAATCTGCAGAGGTGGGAAGGAAGGTGCAACAGGGCCTGTCTGTTCCTCCGGGGAGGAGGGAGGGGAGAGATAACAGACCACAGTGGAGCTCTACAAATAGAAGCCAAACAGCCACTGTCCCTCTCTGGCCTCTCTTCCACACCCCTGAAAGGGCTCACTTGGGCTCTGGCTGTCACCTGACACCCTTGAGGCTCTCCACACAGCTCCAAGTTTGGGGGCAAGGATGGGGAAGTAACAGCACAGCATATTTATTTCAGCCTCAGGAATGCTAATAGCAAAGTGTTCTTAGTGGGAAAGAGATTTAAAGTTAGGAAGGGCAGAGGCAATACACCATTACAGTGTCCTTAGGCGTAAACTCGGTCCCAAACAGCAGAAACCAGGACTGCAGCCACGCACTAAGTCCAAGGAGAAGCACTGCCTCAAAACCAGGCTCAGGTAAATCTCAGCTGTGACCACTGCCTCCTCTCTTCTCACTGACCACCAGCCACCTGACAGGCTAAACTCAGGCTGGCTCCACAGGCTAAACTCAGCCTGGGCAATGAACAGAAAGGGAACCACACTCGGAAGTACACAATCTGTAGTAGTACACTAACATTCTCTCATTTCCAACAGGAAACAAATTTTCAGTGGTCAAAACAGTATAGTGAACTGGAGACCACTTGTGGTCAGACTCACCGTGCAATGCCCTTCAAGCAGAATTTTTGTCAAGACCTGGGATGGTGCTGGTAGAGCACCGATGCACCTGATGAAGACAACAGACCAGAGCAGTCACATGTTCTCCCAAGACAGAAGGTAGAACAGACTTGCTGAAGGCAGGCCAGCTAGGAGATCACCTTCAGTGGCAGAGACAGCACACTCTGTGAAGATAATCCTATCTTTTTTTAAAAAAAACATCCAGACTGACCTGAACTCCTGAACTCAAATGATCCTCCTGCCTCAGCCTCCAAGTAGCTGGGACTACAGGTGCACGCTATCATGCCTGGCTCTGACTTCATCCTGTCTTAACCACTTCAGATTTTCTCTCTGGAGGACTCACCTAAAGCTGCAATTTAATTAGTGTGATAAAGGACAGTATTTAAGAGGCTTTCTGTGCAGAGAAAACGTTGCCAATGGTAAACATGATTATGAGTTTTGTCGTGTTGCACACTTAGAGAGGCATGTTTCTTGCACACAATTCCCCCCACTGAGACATAAATGAAAAGTCCTACACAAGGGTCTCAAGAGTGCTGAGCCCTGCACGACAGGGAAGTTCTACAGACACGTCTGCAGATGTGTCCTGGGCAGCACCACCTCCCCTGCGCTCCCACAGTGCAGCAGTGCCCGCCTGTGCGCCCACTGTCCCGTCACCTGACGTTTCCTCCAGCTTTCTGTATTCTCATGCGCTCTTCGTACTGGGTTGGGTTATGCTCTTTGCTGAGACTTAAGGCGGCGTGTTTCTGACTCTCTTCGTTATACCGACAAAGGATTGCCTGGGAAGATGGAGATTACAAGTTATGAAACTTCATGAAGTGAACCAGTATCTGAAGTCATCAGCTGATGGGGAAGGCTAACAGTGTAGCTCCGTATTTGGCCACCTGCTGACAAATGCCAGTTTAGAAAACCATGTGTCAACTTAAGCATCAGCTAGTAAATACCAGTCAAGATGGGAAGGCCCTGGATTTGGATGACCACAGCCATGATCGCCATGGCCACTGTCCATCATCTATGTCAGATGTGAAAGGGAACAGGCCAGCCTGTAAAAAGCAGATGAGGAGCAGGCCGTGCCTCCGTAAGCTCTCAACCACAAGATTTACTAGGTTAGGTTCACAGACGAAGATGCTGGGGCACACAGATTGCAATGCAGCAAGAATCAGGCTCAAAGAAGGATGTAAATTGAGCCTGAATCCAAAAATATTTCGGGGCCAATTTTATCCCTGCTCCCTACCGGGCCTACATACAGCCAGTCTACCCGAGGGTCAAAGCACAAACTAGGTTGGACTATCATCTCTCAAGTCACTGCTGCACCACTAGGGTGAACCGCCCGCCCAGAAGTGTCAGGCAAGTGCGGGCAGCGTGACTGAGAGAGGAAGGAGCGGGGCTGGTATGAAGGTGGCGACACTGTCCACCCACTGCCAATAAGAAACCCCATGCTGGGCTTTTCCTTGGCCCAGCAGCCTGGACCTAGTCTCTTGAGTAGAACACCATCTCAGAATTTCTAGCTGCAATGTTCAAGGTTGCAGGCTCTTGCAGAGGGGCCTGGAGAGCAGGTTTGGCTGCTACTGCTTGTTCCCTGCTGGGAGGTAAGAGGAACAAACAGTGAAGCCAGTTGCTCCAGCATCACTCAGGTGGTGCACACAGGCAGAACCCCCACAGCTGGTGGGTGAGAGGAGGAGCCCAGTATCAGAGCACACTGTAGCAGGTGGCTGTGGCAAGGGCCCAGTGTCACAGCGAACCGCGGCAGGTGAGGATAACAACAGCAGGGCACACTGAGGTGCCGGCCCCTTCTTGGGGTCACCGGCAAGAACTCTACAGCAACCCCATCACAAGGTTTAGACAGGCTGTCACCTAAGTGGGTGGATGAGAGCCACATACCCGGCTATCTCCAAGGTTGGCGATATACAGGATATTGTCCACAGCCAGGACACAAGTGGCAGTGGAGCCGTCCTTCCAGGCAGGCTTCCTGGGGAAACACATAGAAACGTAGTCACCACCACAGGCCAGGCCTGGAAACTGACTTCCAGAAGTGTCAAACGGACCATTTCCTTCACACTAAGACACAGTTAAAACATGGGTCATGACCCCAAATGCCCACATGTTCCAGGCTTGCTTCCCAGAGTGGTATTGCTAGGAAGCCTTAGGTCACAACAGTTCCCTCAAAGGAGACTGTGGGACCTCACGACAGGTGGAAGAGGGACCGCGGACCCCCACCAGTTCTCCTTCTCCTGTTTTCTGGACCAAGGCTTGAAGATGGATGCTGTCATCATGATGTGCCATCTCATCAAATCAATGCCTTCAAGTCCAAATGGTGAGCCATGATAAAACTCCCTTACTCCATCCACAGTAGCCTGGGTCAGATAGCACACAGGACCATTCAGAGCTAAGTGCCACATCTGTTTTCTTTGGTTCAGGTTTAGCTAATGATTATATGAGCTCACTTTCTGGGCACCTGCCCTCTCATGGAGTTGTACTCACTGGCTGGATGCCTGTTTAAGGAACTCCTCATCGGTATGCTTGAAAGTGTCCAATAGGCATCTCTTCACCGTTTTCTCTACACTGCTCACATCTCCTATCAGAAGGGCCAAAGAAAATCATCTCTAATGAAACCAAGACTGTCCTCCTCCCACTGGTTTCAGAATCTATTTTTTGCACAAAAAAACCCAACCTCTAAGTTTGAGCAAGAACAATCTTCCTTTCTTCACCTATAAGCCAGTGCCAAGGTGCAGGCAGCCAAAATCCCACCCACAAACAGTTCAAAGGGAGGAAATGCAGTGCCCCTCCCCCACCAAGGAGCCTCAGTCACTTACTGGCAGCCCCCTCTCAAAAGTCATCAACGGATCTCAAATCAACACAGGCACAGGCTGGGCCACCCACCCAAGGAGCAAAGCCAAGATTTGCCCTGGCTCACCTTTAGGAAACTTTCTAATTAAGTTCTGATGTAAATTCTGTGCAGCAAATTTCGAAGCTCTAATTCCTCCATGTCCATCAAAAACAGCAAAATAAGAAACTCGAGTACTAGAAGAAAGAATTGTGAATCAACCAAATTCTCACAGCAAAGATTACATTAAAGCTTTAAATCTCACTAAAGCTTTTAAATTTCATCTCAAACCATGTGCATTAAAAATAAGATAGCAAGTCAAATGGTGGGAAAGCAGTCACATCACAAATGATAAAAGCCCAGACTTGTTTAAAAAATCAGCATATACCCTATAATCCAGATTTTTTTCCCATGTAAATCAAATAATAACAGAAAAACTGCGACTGATCCAGGAGAATTAAAAAGGGCTATAAGAGCTGGGCACTAGTGGCTGTAATCCTAACTACTCTAGAGGCTGAGATCTGAGGATCATGGTTTGAAGCCAACCTGAGCAGAAAAGTCTATGAGACTCTTATCTCTAGTTAACTACAGAAAACTGGAAGTGGCGCTGTGGCTCAAAGTGGTAGTGCTAGCCTTGAGCATTAAGTTGTTCAGGGACAGAACCCAGGCCCTGAGTTCAAGCCCCATAACCAATGCGGGAGCTGGTGGCTCATGCCTGTAATCCTAGAGACTCAAGAGGCTAAGATCTGAGGATTGGGTTTGAAACCAGCTTAGGCAGGAAAGTCTATGAGACTCTTATCTCCAATTAACCAGGAAAAAGCAGAAAGTGGAGCTATAGTTCAACTAGTAAATAGGGTATTAGCCTTTAGCAAAAAAGCTTAGGGAAACATCCAGTTCCAAGTTCAAGCGCCAGGACCAGCATTGCACGCATGCATGCACGCACTCACACGCGCACACACCCACACCCACACACATACACATACAGTCTGTTAAGGGCAAGGATAAGTTCCAGAATTCCTATTCAAATTTGATTAGTTTTAAGGCCTATCTTCTTATTCCTATTTCCCAAGTTTTTCCCAGAAAACCCACATAGATGGAATAATAGAATTCAAAACAAAATATTTTTGGCCAGACACAATGATTCATGGCTATAGTCCCAGCTACTCAGGAAGTAGAAACCCCTAAAATTCAGGTTTAAGGCTATCCCTGGCAAAAACCCAGTGAGACCCCCATCCCTACACTGTAGTTTCAGATACTTAGAAGGCATAGGTAGGAGAATTGTGATTGGAGGCCAGAAGAGCAAAAGGGAGACCCTATGTGAAAAATAATCTAAAAAGCAACAAGAGCTATGGGAAGAGAACTTGTCTTGTCAAACCCTAAAAATGCTTATGAGGAAAAGAAATGTCAAATCCTAAACGTTGGGGGATTCCTTTTCCATTTAGGGCGATGTGAACCGTGAGAGACCCCATTTGAGTTTATAACTCACAACTGCCACCATGCAGCCTGGTATTTTCTAGGGACAGCAGTGCTGATTTTAAGTCCAATGCAGCTCCCCCCAGGGGTTAGGCAGGCTCCATGCCTGGCCAACTCAGTCATCAGCCGCTCCCAACTCTGTCCTTCAGGACACAGAATAAGAAGACTCAGTTGCTCAGTTGCTGGAGGGAGTAAATCCAGCACCCGGTCACTCCCACACAGCAGAACTCAGCCACTGCCCTGACAATAGCTGGGCTTGGCCATTCCTAATGCAGCTTCTGCCCCATGATCTCAGATAGGGGGAGGCATCCTGGTGCCTCTCCCCACCAGATGCCAGTAGCAGTTTCCTCCCCCAACTGTGACAACAAAAATGTCCCCGGGAATTCTTGCCCAGGAGAACCCAAATGCCACAACAGCTGAGAGCCACTGACGCAGAAGTGGCTCAAGTTTCATATATGTCAGTCTTTCTAGTAAAGACAAAACCAGAGGAGGAGAATGTATTGCCACCCAGGTTTGCTAGTGTATGCACACTCACATGAGCGACGACGGGGGTCTACACTCCTCAGTGATGTCATTCAGGATGACGTGGGCGTCCTGCATCTCCTCCCTCTCACCTTTCCTCTCAGCTACATAGCCTTTCAGGCCAAAGATCACCGATGAGGCTAAAGAGAGACAAGAAAAAAACCAATACAAAACTGTGTCCTGCCCTCCAGAAGCCCTAGTCCCAGAGCAAATGAGAGGAACAACGGCTGCTTTCATCAACTGTGTCCTAATGGAGCTAACAAGCACTCCGCATCTCTCGAGGCACCTCCCCAGCTGCAAATCCAGTCAGAATTATGAATGGGGCTTGGCTCGAGGCTGTGGCAGGACAGACACACGGGAGGATAGTGAGCAGTGAGAGTCAGCAGCTGGGAGGGAAGTGCTCCGATGCTGAGGTGGGACCAGACCAGAGGGAAAGTATCCTGGGCAAATCCAGTCCCATGATATTTTAACAAGGACAGGAAAATTCCTACTTCTGAGAAATGCAAGTCAGCAGTCTGTCCCAAATATCCTGTTTGTTAGAGACGCTGAAGTTAAAGATTTCCACACTTGAGGCTGGTGAGGACTGTCACCCAACAATAAGAAAACTGCTTTTACTTCAAGGCAGAGAAAGGAACCTACAGGAGGCACAGATGCTGCCTTATTTAAAGGCAAGCTAATTCAAGCCCATTTTCTGACACCTGAGGCCACATAAATACTAAGTGAATGCTTTTAGAAGAAATAACAGGCCAACCTAAAGCCCAACAGAGCTGCAAGTGGCTCATTTCCTACATCTACTGTGCACTGAGACAACCTGTGTCAAGTTTAAAGCAATCAGTACAGGCAGTGAAGTCCTGGCCATTTCTCCTTAGTAGATACCCTTCAAGAGGGCTTCTTAAAGACTGGGAGTCTGAGAGGCTAAGTAGACAATAAACTAACATTTCACAAAAGGTTTAGGAAAAAACAACCCGTGCTTAACTCTCAAGGAATAAATACAGTTTCCCATTTGATCTAATGCAGGGTCAACATGTACATGAAAGTCAAGAGGAAAAGTAAAGGTAGTCTTGGAAAACATTTGCAAAAAAGGAACCCTATTTCTTAAATTCAGACACAGAAGGAAGGACTACAATTAGAAAGCTAAGACTGCTTTTGCTCTGGGTTGTTTTAAACTATAGAGTCTAATACATTTGTTTTCAAACTGTCTGAAAACCTTTACAAACTTTCTTTTCCACAAGCTCTTCACCGCCATTCTCCTCTTCCTCAGAGGTTTTCCTCTTTGCTCCTTTCCCTTCATTCTTCACCTGGGGAATTGATGTGGCAAGAGAACCTAGAAATAGAGAGCCAGACACACAGCTGTAGACCATTGGAAAAGTCACCAGCAAACAAGGCTCCAGCCAGCCTCAGACAAAGCAAGCAATGTTCCAACCGAGGCCTGGCAAACAGGCAGAGTGGGCAGGGCCTCAGGGGCAGGACAGTGCTGAGGAGCCTAGTGGGAAAACACAGGGCAACATCTGCCCCCCGAGTAGGAACAACTTGTGCACTCTGATGACCAGAGTCATGATGTTTAGTGAGAAACAAGGGGCTTTCCGCAATGTGTACACACACCAGCATATCCTGCACAAGTTCAAAAGCTTAGTGCCCAGGAAGGCTCAAAATAAGGAAAAGGCAGAAGAGGGAGGCTTCCCAGCTCCACCTGCAGAGTATGGTCTGTATTCAAAAGCCATACTTAAGGGGGCTTGCAGCTCTTACAGTCTAGCCTTAGAAGTGTGCCCATAAGAGAAGATTCTTAGTGGTTTAGACTTCTGTTTCAGCATCTGAATGGGATTCAACCAGGTAAGATACACAAAACATGTTGGGCTACCTGGTGCACTTAGTGCCCAATAAATAGTTCTCAATGTTCTCTGCATTTAGGTACAAAAATATGTAGCTATTCATGAAACCTGCTCTGTACTAGACATCTGAGTACTGAGGAAAAAGAAAACGTCCCTGCCTTCAGGTGCAGCTGTGTGCAGAAGGCAGATGCCTCCAGCAGTGGCACCTGACTCACACATGCCACCCCGCGCGGCACAGGGCAGACCGCTGCAGCAGACAACAGAGGCCCTGCAGTCACACATGCCACCCCGCGCGGCACAGGGCAGACCGCTGCAGCAGACAACAGAGGCTCTGCAGCCACACATGCCACCCCGCGCGGCACAGGGCAGACCGCTGCAGCAGACAACAGAGGCTCTGCAGTCACACATGCCACCCTGTGCGGCACAGGGCAGACCGCTGCAGCAGACAACAGAGGCCCTGCAGCCGTACTGACAGCTCACTGCTGGTTCTAGTTTCCCAATGTGTAGGTGAAAGTGCTTCCTTTCTTCTGAATTTTACACCAGACCAACTTTCCAGCTCTGCTGCTTTTAAGCCAATTAACTGGAGACAGAGAATGGGGTCTGCACGGGAGACAGACCCTAGTCTGGGGTTGATGTGATGGCCCACACAGGCATCTCACAAATGCTGAATGTGACATTCAAGCTTTTATCTCTATTCTTCTTCCCCCCCAAATCAAGTGTCCTCACCGTGCTATTTAAAACTTCTAAATCATTACTAGATTACCATCTTTAAACTACAAATAAGTGGAAAACAGCTAAGCTGAAACTTCATTTCTTTTTTTTTCTTGTGCCCAGTACTGGGGCTTGAACTCCAGGCCTTGAGTGCTTGCTCAGTTTATTGCTCAAAGCTGGCACTCTGCCACAGCCACAGGTCCACTTCTAGCATTTGGCAGTTAACTGGAAATTTGGAAATAAAAGTCACATGGATTTTCCTATCTGGACTGGCTTTACTGAGATCCTCAGATTGCAGCCTTGTGAGTAGCTAGGATTATAGACTTGAGTAAATGGCACCTGACTTGAATCTCCATTTCTTTTGTTAAACACATGATCAGCCTTGCTGCACATACTAACATTCACTGGAACTAAAAGTCCTGTCCTCATTGGAGAGATTTCAGGCTAGATGGCATGTACATGCTGTACATAAGGCCCAAAAAGGTGGGCCTTATGCTTGCTAGACAAGTGCTCTACCACCTGAAACCCTCCTCTAGCCCAGAGAATTCTTAAATAAGATGACTGTATTGTTTTCTTAACTGATCCCACTGATGGTAGAAATACAAGAAACCTATTTGGAAAGGTAGTGAGTATTATAAAAGTGAAGTTTTATACAAGTAACCGCATACCGAACAGGTCTGCCTGAACCCTTACTTCCCTGCACCCACTAGAGAAGTCCAAGTGAGAAATTCTCAGGAAGATGCAGCAACATCTTTGAGTATGACAACAAAATGAAGTCTGCTCAATTCTTATCTTCTATTTCACAGGGACACAAAAAAAAGGAAAGTGAACACTGCCAGGAGCAGATAGAATCAATGCTGAAGGCTGGATACATCTGGGTCTGTCAGGAATATAACAAATCAAATCAGAACAGGCTCAACAACAACAACAAAAAACATTTAAGGTCATTTTGTTTTGAGGTGCAGGGAGTCATACCTGAAATCCCAACTGCTCAGGAGGCTGAGACTGAGAGGACTGTAGTTCAAGACCAGCTGGTGCAAAAAGTTAGCAAGACCCAATATCAACAATTAAGTGAGGGCATGTTGGTATATACCTGTGATTCCAGACTGGTAAGAGGCAAAGGTAGGAGTATCAATGTTCAAGGTCCACATAGAGTAAACACTCAAAATACTATCCGAAAAGTAAAGCAGGCTGGAAATGTGGTGTAGTGACAGAGTGCTTGCCTAGCATTCACGAAGCCTTGGATTCGATTCCTCAGTACCACACAAACAGAAAAAACTGGAAGTGACACTGTGGCTCAAGTGGTAGAGTACTAGCCTTGAAAAAAAAAAAGCTCAGGGATAGTGCCTAGACCCTGAGTTCAAGCCCCCAGGACTGGCAATAAATAGGTGGGGGAGGGAAAGGATAGTGGGAGAACAAGGCAGGGGGTAACAATGCTCGACAAGAAATGTACTCGTTGCCTCACTCATGTAACTGTAACTCCTCTGTACAGTATCTTCACAAAAAAAAAAGAAATAGATCCATAGATAATAAATAAGGCAAGCAAAAAAATAAGAGAGCTGGGTGCCTGTGGCTCACACCTATAAACCTTGCCACTCAGAAGACTGTGTTCTGAGGCCAGTCCAGGCAGACAAATCTAAGAGACTTTCATCTCCAATTTAACCACCAGAAAGCCAGAAGTAGAGCTGTGGCCCAAGTGGTAGAGTACCATCCTTGAGCAAGAAAGCTCAGGGACAACACTCAGGCCCTGACTTCAAGCCAAAGTACTAGCCCCCAAACAAAGCCCCCAGATGTTTGAGGAGCACATGTACTATTCCTGTCAGCACTTACCTGGATCACTACTGCCGGCAGGTGGGAGGTCATCAAAGAGCAAAGGTCCCCCTGGTCCTGAAACAAGCAGAACATGTGGTGAGCCAAGAAAAAGAACAGGATGACGTCTCAGATCCCATCCCACCAGGACACCGAGGTGGGTTTTGAAATCAACTCAGAGCTCGTGTCAATCCAGTGGCAACTTACACTGAAATGAACCTATTTTAAAGTCCTATCATTGCAAAGGAAATAAAATTCCGCCTTCAAAAGTCGCATTTTATCTCAGCTAGCAAACTTTCAAATGAGCCAGAGAAGACTGTTCCACATGTTACGTGGTTCTTCTCAGGGCAGGTTTTTCTGCCTTACCTGAGGCCATGTGTTCAAAACTTAAGACAGCCACACCTAAAACATCTGTGTGTTGAAAATGGGGGAAAGGGAAAAAGATTGAGACAACTACAATCCCAGGATGAGTAGAGAGGTTGACACACACCTGGGAGAGCCTGAAGACTGTACCTGAGTCAGTACTGCTGGCCGGAGGGAGGTCGTCAAAGAGCAGAGGTCCTTCCTGAGCATCTTTCCCTAAAAGAGAAACCTTGTTGAGGAGCGGGTCTCAAAGGGCAAAAGATTATGGTGTCTTCTGCTGAAGGACAGGTTTGCTAGCAGGCAAAATGTTCTTTTTTTTGGTCAGTCGTGGGGCTTGAACTCTGGGCCTGGGCGCTGTCCCTCAGCAATTCAGCTCAAGGCTAGCACTCTACCACTTGAGCCACAGCACCACTTCTGGCTTTTTCTCTTTATGTGGTGTTTAGGAATCGAACCCAGGGCCTCATACATTCGAGGCAAGCACTCTACCACTGAGCTGCCTTCCCAGCCCAAATGTTCTCCTTTCTATTGGACAAAACTTACTTTAAAAAATACTTCCTATGCCGGGTGCCGGTGGCTCACACCTAAAATCCTAACTACTCAGGAGGCTGAGATCTGAGGATTGGGGTTGAAAGCCAGCCCAGGCAGGAAAGTCCATGAGACTCCAATAAACCACTCAGAAAACCAAAAGTGGTGCTGTGGCTCATGTGGTAGAGTGCTTGCCTTGAGCTGAAGAGCTGAGGGACAGCACCCAGGCCCAGAATTCAAGCCGCATGACTGACAGAAAAATAAAAACAAAATACTTCTTAGCTGGTCACTAGTGGCTCACTCCTGCACTCCTAGCTACTCAGGAGGCTGAGATCTAAGGATCACAGTTTGAAGCCAGCATGGACAAGAAAGTTATGAGATGTTTATATCCAATTACTACCAAAAAAGTCAAAGAGGAGCTAGGGCTCAAGTGGCAGAGCACTAGCCTTGGGCAAAAAAGCTCAGGGACAGTGCCCAGGCACTGAGTTCAAACCCTAGGACCAGCACATATACAAAAAAATTCCTGGACAGCTATTTAATATGGACCTTTTTTTCCCAACATTTATAGTCAACATAAAAGCAAAGAACAATGTCCCAACAGGCATTTTAAGGGACCCTGGGTATTTTAAAAATACATACTTTAAAAACATATTTTTGAGTTGGGCGCCAGTGGCTCACACCTGTAATCCTAGATACTCAGCAGGCTGCGACCTGAGGATCACGGTTCAAAGCCAGCACGGGCAGGAAAGTCCGTGGGACTTTTATCTCCAATGAGCCAATAGAAAACCAGAAGGGGCACTGTGGCTTAAGTGGTAGAGTACTAGCCTTGAGCTGAAGAGCTCAGGACAGCACCCAGGCCCAGAGTTCAAGCCCCATGACTGACAAAACAGAAATAACTACAAAAAAACCACACATTTTTCCTGGTGATTTCATCAAATGTGGGTGCCTCACATTTGTGATCCGACCTACTGAAGATTAATGCACTTCTCTAAGAGGCTATTTTAAAAGCTGCTTTGCTGCATTTGTGAATTGACTAAAAGCTGGGTACCTAGCCTGCCATTTTGCATCTGTGCCTTCTGATCTGAGCCAGTTCCCTGCAGTCACTTTACAATTACCTTAGGCTCCAGAAAGAACAGAATTTACCAATAAGCATCTTGGGACAAGAGGCAGCCAAAAGCTACAGACTACCCACCAGGCAGGCCTCTGCAATCAAAGACCAGAGCTAATACAATCGGAGCCATACTGGTGTCTTGGAACTGTTTTAACTAAACATACTTTTCTCACCCTCAACTCACCCTATTCAACCTACGGCTAATGTCCGTCCCCTGAAGATGGCTGAAGATGTACTGAAGTGCTTGCTATCTTCACATGTCCATCCTTCACTATGCCTTTTCATGTCACATTTAGGGCAAGTGGCCTAAGGTGGGATTCCTGGAGTTTGCCCTTGCGTCTAAAAACCTGGCTTCAAGACAAAGCCAACCCAGGCAGAGAGAGATTCTATCTCCAGTCAACCAGCAAAATGCCAAGCTGGAGGTGTGGCTCAAAGCCAAGTGAGTTGTGTAGCTGAGCTCAAACCCAGCAAAAAGGGGAAAATAAAATCAAACTTTTTTCCCCTTTGGCAGTGCTAGTGATCAAACCCAGGGTCTCACACATGATAAGCACATTAGCTACCACTGAGCTATACACCAGCCCCCTAAATCCAAGAGGCTGACATGTTTTGTCAGAGGGGGTGGGGTGGGGGCAGACAAATGTAGAGGAAAAATGGGGAAATATAGTCATAATACTCAATCTAAATAAGTGAAAATGGAATCAGGTACTTGAGGGGATGGGTAGGGTTGGAAGAAATTAGGAGAACAATGATGGAAAAGGTAACATTGATTGATGCATTATACTTATGAACTGACACGCTGAACTAAAACCTCTTGGTAGAACTACTTCAAGAATAAGCCAGGAGTTAGGACTGGCGGCTCATACCTGTCATCCTAGCTACTCAGGAGACTGAGAGCTGAGAATCACAGTTCAAAGTCAGACCAGGCAGGAAAATCTTGAGATTCTAATCTCCAATAAACCACCAGAAAACCAGAAGTGGTGCTGTGGCTCAAGTGGTAGAGCACTAGCTTTGAGTTGAAGAGTTGAGGGACAGTGCCCAGCCCCAGAGTTCAATTCCCACGACTAAAAAAAAAAAAAAAAAAACAGAAGCCAGGAGCTAGGCACTCACACTCACACCTGTAATCCTAGCTATTCAGGAGGCTGAGATCTGAGGATCATGGTTCAAAGACAGCCTAGGCAGGAAAGCCTCTTAGAGTATCTCCAATTAACCATCCGAAAACCAGAAGTGGTACTGTGGCTCAAAGTGGCAGAAGTGGAAGAGCACTAGCCTTGAGCAAATAAATGAGCTAAGGGACAGCACCCAGGCTAGGAGCTCAAGCCCTACCCTCCCCCTCCCCCACAGAGAATAAAAAAAGGCAGAATCTTGAGAAGACAAAAATTGACTTTAGGCCAAGAAAACCTTTTGTGTGGGGTGCGGGGGGCAGTCTTGGGGCTTGAACTCAGGGCCTGGGTGCTGACCTGGAGCACTCCACTGCTTGAGTCACAGCTCCACTTCTAGCCTTTTGGTGGTTACTGGAGACAAGAATCTCACACAGGCTTTCCTGCCTGAGCTGGCTACAAACCATAATCCTCAGATCTCAGCATCCTCAGTAGCTAGGATTACAGGCATGAGCCACTGGCATCTGGCTCCAAGAAAACTTCTGTATCTCAAAACAAGACTTCAGGAATAAAGAAGTCTTCAACCATTTACAGGTACTAGTAAGTCCTACTTCAGTAACATTCTGCAATGGAAGAAAATCTGTCATAACATGTCACAGTCCTTGCACAGCAGAATTCAATGTCTATGAAGAAAATGAGGAGTTTCAAAGTCAAATATCAGCCTCAGGAGACAGCTGGAGAAATTCTTATCTAAACTCAAAAGAACACATTTTAAAGTTTTAGGCCTCACATGAATCGTAACCATCTCTATAGCTCTTTTCTATCAAATCATGAACTGGCACACAGGAACCTGGGGGAAACGCTGAATGAAGGAAGCAGAGTGGTCCCCCTTGTCCAGGGTCTAGCTTTCCTGATGTCTTATGCAGTCCACAAATATTAATGGAACATTACTGCAACATACAATTCCTGTTTGCAGAGTGAAATCTTGTGTCAGCCTGCCCCTCCTGCCCAGATAACAGCTTATCCATTTCCACCCATCTATCTTCTCTACTCTCAACCTGTCCATTACTGACTCAGTGGCTGTCCTGGCTACCACCTTGACTGCACTGTCATATTACTTGTGTAACTTTTACTTATGGCCACAAAGCACTAACTTTTATTACAGTGTATTGTTGAACTGCTGTTAATCTCTCATTATGCCTAATAAACCAGACCTTACCATAGGTACCTATACAGAAGTAGACTTCTAGTGCTTGCTTATACTGACAACTGACTAGCATCTATAAAGCACCATGTGCTATTTTATGGCACCTGCGCCAAGGCACAGGATGAGAGCAAACAAGTCAGTTACCTATTCTACAGATGTGGCCACAAGTCTACCTTACAGAAAGCAGCACAAGTGAGTGACTACATAGATCTCAAACCAGACTAGTTATATTTCCCACCCAACTTTTAGGTCTTTTATTGTTCCCTGTATAACTTAGAAGTTTGTCGCACTAGCATTTCATAGTAAAAGTCTTCATGCAGATTAGCTGTTTCTCAACCCACTTTAGCAATCTATGTGATTTAATGAAATGCAGTATGCAAGTTACTCTTTAACAGAATCAGTGCTACAGAAAAGTGTGAAATTCGATTGTTTTCCTTCAAGTATTTTAATTTGTTACTGGTTTCTTGGTTTTGTTTTCAGACAGGGTCACAATGTTCGCCTAGGCTGCCTCCAAGCTTATGAACCTTGCCTCCCCTTTCAAGTGCTGGAGTTGCAGGAGCGCACCACCACGCAGTGGTCCATCTTACCGGTTTTAATCAACTACCTGTTCTGCCCCTCACATTCGTCTCTCCCTGTTTCCTAAAAGCATCGTATTCTTACACTTGGTTTTATTTGGTTTGTGTTTGCTGCCTTTTTTCTTGTTGTTGTTGGTTGTGGAGCTTGAACTCTGGGCCTGAATGCTGTCCCTCAGCTCTTCAGCTCAAGAACGCTCTACCACTTGAGTCACAGTGGTGCCACTTCCAGTTTTCTAGTGGTTTATTGGAGATAAGGGTCTTACAGACTTTCCTGAGCAGCTGGCTTTGAACCCCAATCCTCAGATCTCAGCATCCTGAGTAGCGAGGATTACAGGTGTGAGCCACCAGTGCCCAGCTTGCTTCCATTGTTTTTGTGCTGGTACCTGGCTTTAACTCAGGATCTTGAGCTCTGTTTTTCCTCAAGGCTGGTGCTCACATCTCTACTTCTAGCTTTTTGCTGATTAATTGGAGGGAAGTCTCTAGGATTTGTCTACCCAGATTGGCTTTGAATCAAGATACTCAGACTTTGGCTTCCTGAGTAGCTAGGATTACAGGTGTGAGCTACCAGCACCTGGCTGTTAGGCTTCTTTTAAAGTAGATTCTTTACAACGCTATTTTTAAAATACAGCATCAATGCCCTAATGCACTGTCAAGGGACAAGGCACTTATTAAGCCCAAGCAACCCTTCAGCCACCTTGTCAGCCAGAGCTCGAAGCTGCTTCTGGAAAACAAAAGCAGGATGTGCCCTCCAGACTAAGTACCAACTTGTATGTCAGTGGTCAGGTTTCATGTCCTGTCATGGGAGCCTTCCTGAGAGGAGACCCAATTAAATTTCAGGTTAAAAAAAAGTAGTAAGACATTCTGGGGCTGGGAATGTGGCTCAGTGGTAGAGTGCTGGCCTAGCATGCAAGAAGCCCTGGATTTGATTCCTCAGTACCATATACACAGAAAAAGCTGGAAGTGGCACTGTGGTTCCAGAGGTAGAGTGCTAGCCTTGAGCAAAAGAAACTCAAGGACAGTGCCCAGGACCTGGCAAAAAAAAAAAAAGTGTAAGACTTTTTTAAAAAAAAAATGACGATTTGGGGCTGGGAAGGTGGCTCAGTGGTAAAGCGCTTGCCTTGCATGCCTGAGGCCCTAGGTTCGATTCCTCAGCACCACATAAGCAGAAAAAGCTGGAAGTGGTGCTATGGCTCAATTGGTAGAGCTTGAGCTGAAGAGCTGAGGGACAGCGCCCAGGCCCAGAGTTCAGGCCCCGTGACCTACCAAAAAAACAAAAACAAAAGCTAAGAGGACTAGGAAGGTGGCTCAGTGGTAGAGTGCTTGCCTTGCATACATGAGGCCCTAGGTTCGATTCCTCAGCACCACATAAGCAGAAAAAGCTGGAAGTGGTGCTGTGGCTCAAGTGGTAGAGCGCTTGCCTTGAGGTGGAAGAGCTCAGGGACAGTGCCCAGGCCCAGAGTTCAGGCCCCACGACCGACTGCACCCCCCCCCAAAAAAAAGACGGTTTGTGGCACACGTGAGAATCCAAACTCTGCCCCAAACACATTCAGACCCACGGAGAATGCTAACTGCACGCAGCCGTAACCAGTTACCTTGAAAAAGAACCGTGGGCCCAGGCGGCACCGGCGGCACGGCCAGCGAGGGAAGGGGACAAAAAGACAAAACCCAAGACGGAGGGCAGCGCAGAGGCGGAAGCCCAGAGGCAGGGGCTCGGGGCGGGCTCCGAGCCCCGCGCCCCGCACCGACAGGCCCTGCTCCGCACGCCGTCCCGCAGCACACGAGCTCATCACGAGTCTCCCTCCCGCCCGGCCTCGCCCCGGGCGGCGGCACGCTCCCCTCGGCGACGCCGGGGTCGGCCTTCCCGGCCCGGGCCATTTAGCCAGGCTTTGGAACCCCGCCGGGAGGCCCCGGGGCCGGGAGGCCCCGGCCCGTTCCTCACTTTGCCAGGCCCTCCGCCCCGCCACGTTCGGCTGGTGACCGAGGCGATGAACGACGGCGTCCGGCCGGGAACGTTCGCGCGTTCGTCCCGGCGACAGCTGCAGTGACCCGGCGCGGGGCCGAGGGCCGCGGGGAGC